CCCCCCACCCACACACACACACAAACAAACAAAACAAAACTGAAAGGTGGTCACTGCAACATCATAAATAAACAATCCTTGAAATGCCGAAGTAATCAGCATTTCATGTAATCTCCATAAATAGATAAACCGAAAAAATGGCTTAAGCTTTAAATTAAAGTTTTCTTAATTTCACTCAAACTCGCACACTTGATTGTCGTTGGATCTACGTAATTCTTCACTACCATAAACTGTCATATATTTTAGTTTCTCTTGATCACTGAAACCATTCCAAACTTTGAACTACCTGTTCATCTTGGCTACACGATTCGGTTCTCAAGTGAAAAACTGTTATTCGTAAATAAATCTTGAGATAACGCTGGATTAAAATAGTCTTAACTAACATAACATATATATACACACAGAAACGTGTACTTGTCGACTGTTACTTTATTTAAGCTGCTCTGAATCTGGTGAACTCTGATCCAACTATGGTCATGTGGTGCGTCAATGTTGGGTTGAAACATTCCGTTTAAATGTCAAATGTACATACTACCACAGAAGTTCAGGTATCGTCCAGGAAGAAAAAGGCAAGAATTGGAAGTACGTTATATCAAACAATGAAAATAGCATGTACCTGAACCTAATGACGCAATAACTACTTACAAATGTTAAGTTAGCTTGTAGTGTCTACCTACCAAAACATCTACACGTTCATAATTTAGTTTATGGAGAACTAGTTTTTAACTTTCTAAAGTAAACGCTACAAGAAACTTAAAGGCACAATTGGACGTGTAAAACTAGCTGCAAGAAAGCCGACATCATAAGTTAGAATTCTCCACTCGCTGCTTTTCAAGCACTCCAACAGCGGCGTCCACTAACATGTATAAGCAACTAAAGGGATCTTCTTTCCCCTCACCAGATGGCGAAAGTGGTGGAGTGTTGGGCTCCGATTCCCATGGCTGTGGAGCTGAATTTTGAGGTTCGGTGCTGAGGTTTGAGGAAACAACGAAGTTCGACTCGCCTTGTATATCACGAAAACAGAACTTTTTATCCACAGATGAATGTTGGGAAGAAGATATGCCGTTAACGGGTACAATGATCTTTCGACTATGTGGGTTAGTGGAAAACTTCATTTCTGTGTGGCCACCACACGGCAAGACTTTCACAACTGACAGTCGAGAAGGTAAATGATCAATTCGATTCAAGAGTTCTTGTTCATGAGACTGTTGCCAGCGTCTTCTCAGTTTTAAAGGGGTCACGGAATCTACCTGGAGAGGGTCACAGGGAGAGACTTCACTCGAACTGTCTTCACTTTCTACGTCGCCGTCGGTGGCGCTATCGTCAGTTAAAGAAAAAAAAGCCTGGGGAGGTTTGGCTAGTCTTTCATGATCAGATTTATCGGACTTTCCGGTGCTGTATCTCTGTCTAATATTAACATTTCTGTTTGAATAGCTTTTCCTTGTTATTGTGTACTGTAGAGGGTCATGTCCTTCTTTCCGAATCAAATCTGGCAAGATGCGACGTCTAGCGTTGATAAACCAATTACACACCTGTAGAAGACTAAGATTGGCCTCCTTGGACAGTAGCAGCTTCTCCTGGTCTGATGGATAGGCGTTATATCTATGCTCGTACAACCACATCTTTAAGATTTTGACAGATTCTTTTGGCAAGTTCCCTCGACGTTTTCGCCCATTCAGATCTGAACGTTGCTGAAGGTCATCGGGTCGAGAGTAAGGCATATTATTACAGAACGGCATCTTTAAGTGTTCCCGACCTAATAACAAATAAAGGGGATAATTTTAGTTAAATATTGACACTTTATAGTTAACGAGTAATAACAGAACGCTACTGGTAATCTGGTTTTTATCTGCAATCAAACTCGTATCAATAAAACACTTTCAGTTCAAAACGTAAAATAGTGGTATACATATCCAAAACCCACTCTTTCAAGCTAATCCAAAGTGAAGCAAAGATTGTAGTGATTAATTCCTTACATAGAATATTATAAACAATGAGCTTGAAGCGAGTATTAGTAGTGTATACCACTGTGTAATAAGTGTCGCAACCACATTTGGCACCAGCTTTTCTCCGCAAAATGTATTACAAGAAAAATTACACACAACGGGCAATTTGGACTTTGTCTTTAAAACTCAGAAAATTTTAAGCCTGGAAGGGTCCTGTGACTAAACTTAGAAGATACGTAATGTGAAACTCGTAGTAACAAGGTTGTGTGGGCATTAATCCCAACGCAGTTGTCACTCTGGCATCAAATATGTGATTTCACATACCACCGTTATACTGTAGTGAGCTACAGTAGTACTTTCAGGTAAGACTACTTCCACTCAAAGCGACGAAACGGGTCCGCTTAATAACAGGAGATTTAACGAAAGTGCAAAAATGAAGTGAATAATCTTTAATTAAGACAAACGCAGGAAAATTTTGAATTGCCACAATAGACTGTACAATTGCCTCAACTAGAAAGTTGGTACTAATTCTGTATCTTTTGATATGATTTAGGACTGATAACTACTTAACGTGTCGTTAACATTGGATTTACCTAGAACTACTAGTACTTACACACGTGACTGGTCGTTATTCCTAGAGATCACCTGGCCATTGGAAGACCCACAACAATGGGTAGCTATAGTGAAAGGAATTTATCAAATTTCTTGATCAGTATGGTACGAAAATAGCACAAAGTTTATATTTTTTTTAAATAATGCAAGCAAATACAGTTTTTATAATACTACACCCTTTACTTTATATATTCGAGTATTGGGTAATGTCTGGCTGTTGTACCATAAATACGGTCACGTGGACATTCTTGTTTCTGGACAAAATGGAGCAAGCAACAAATCTTTCAAAGCAAAGAATATTATAACTACTTCCTTTAATCCTCTTTTATATCCTTCCAAAATCCCACTTTCACCAGAAAAAAATTCTGGTTTTGATGTTAATTGAGTAGATTTGTTGAATGTAAAGGTTTGGTAATGATGATTAATTGGTAGTACATTATAGTTTTATTTTTTTATAGAAATATTTTGATTTTCACCACACAAACTTGTAGAAAAGACTCGTGTTTCGAGGATTCTCTTTCAACACAATAACTGAACTTCATATTACCGACTTAACAAAACTATGCCGTAATGGAGTATTTCTTATTGGTTACCCAAGTACAAAGGGTGTTCAGAAATAAACGAGAAATGGTAGCAGACGATTAATCAAATTAACAGGTAAACATTCATCAGCTGTTACCAGTATCGAATGTGTTTTATACTTCAACGATAGTTGGCGTACAACACACCTATCGACGAGCATGGCTTTGAATGGGCGATACCCCCTCAACCAGCACCCAGGCCTAATGAAGCAGTGGGTTTCTTCAGTTTATATATTACATTTAAAAAACATATATATGATGTGTACTTGTAATTAAAGCAGTTGCACCCACTGGTAGATTACACTGTCACTTTGCCGAACTACCATACGATTAATACTATTTTGTAC